AGTATAAAACCCCTGATTGTGTATATTGCTTCTATCATCCCCGTATTGGCTTAAGCCATTAACGATAAATCATGTAAAAAAAATTTAGGACTTAAAAAACCCACTTAAACATCAATTTTCTAAACACACTCTAGTGGTAACAGGGATGAGGATTAGATTACTTAAAACATGTTTTATTTCAGATGTTCTCTAAAAAGGATTTAAGATGTCAATTACAATGAAATGTGTAAAATCGAACACTTTGATACCTTCCTGTTGTAGAATTAGTTTGGATTCGTCCTATCTAGTGTGAACAGAATGAAGAATGTCTTAAACATGTTTTATTTCAGATGTTCTCTAACCTCTAGTGGTAACAGGGATGAGGATTAGATTACTTAAAACATGTTTTATTTCAGATGTTCTCTAACCTCTAGTGGTAACAGGGATGAGGATTAGATTACTTAAAACATGTTTTATTTCAGATGTTCTCTAACCTCTAGTGGTAACCATTGATGTTGGTTCCTTTCTGATGCAACAACAAATGGCAATAAAATAAGAGGCCTTATTAGGCAGATGACAGGAATAGAGGCTATTTCCTCTTGTTCCTTAGAAACATCGCTCTGTTGTAGAAGATTGCAAGTTTGAGGTGACCTGAGATCAAAAATTTTGCAATGAACTAGGAAAGATTTTGTTTAGAGGAAAGTCAGAAACATCTCACTCTCTGATTCACGAATTGCAAGCGTGAAATATTGATAGTACGGGATTATGGATCTAATGTACATCGTACAGTTTTGCTTCAGATCATACATGTACAGCCTTTCTGTGTTATTCAGAAGTCGAATTTCCAGCCATATTGTCTCCGAAATCATTCATTGGTGGTAATTTTAATCTGTTTCTATCAAAATTAACAGCTTTGATACACTAACGTCTTCACAACGTCTCTTCAAAGAATTTACAGTATTTCTTGTTGACGACACATAATTTGTATAGAATTTACATTATTTCTTGCTGACGACACATAATTTGTATAGAATTTACATTATTTCTTGCTGACGACACATAATTTGTATAGAATTTACATTATTTCTTATTGACGACACATAATTTGTATAGAATTTACATTATTTGCTGTTGACGACACATAATTTGTATAGAATTTACATTATTTCTTATTGACGACACATAATTTGTATAGAATTTACATTATTTCTTGTTGACGACACATAATTTGTATAGAATTTACAGTATTTCTTGTTGACGACACATAATTTGTATAGAATTTACATTATTTCTTGTTGACGACACATAATTTGTATAGAATTTACATTATTTGCTGTTGACGACACATAATTTGTATAGAATTTACATTATTTCTTGCTGACGACACATAATTTGTATAGAATTTACATTATTTCTTCTTGACGACACATAATTTGTATAGAATTTACATTATTTCTTGTTGACGACACATAATTTGTATAGAATTTACAGTATTTCTTGTTGACGACACATAATTTGTATAGAATTTACATTATTTCTTGCTGACGACACATAATTTGTATAGAATTTACATTATTTCTTATTGACGACACATAATTTGTATAGAATTTACATTATTTCTTGTTGACGACACATAATTTGTATAGAATTTACAGTATTTCTTGTTGACGACACATAATTTGTATAGAATTTACATTATTTCTTGTTGACGACACATAATTTGTATAGAATTTACATTATTTGCTGTTGACGACACATAATTTGTATAGAATTTACATTATTTCTTGTTGACGACACATAATTTGTATAGAATTTACAGTATTTCTTGTTGACGACACATAATTTGTATAGAATTTACATTATTTCTTGTTGACGACACATAATTTGTATAGAATTTACATTATTTGCTGTTGACGACACATAATTTGTATAGAATTTACATTATTTCTTATTGACGACACATAATTTGTATAGAATTTACATTATTTGCTGTTGACGACACATAATTTGTATAGAATTTACAGTATTTCTTATTGAAGTCATCTTAGTTTTTTTCTTTTAAAGTTTAATCATATGATATTTGTCTGAAACACAAAATGGATCAGGCACAAGTTATCTGAATAACAGCAATATAAAAAAATAGTCCAATCCTTTTCTATAAACAGTGAGAGAAAAAGACGCAGGCGAAATAGAGCGGAAGAAGAAGAGATGGGAGGATTTTTCCTCTAAAGAGAATACACATGAAATATACCTTTAAGCTTTTAGACATCACGTGATTTCATCTTGATGTCATATATGTTGATTTCACCATTACATGTTGGCGGCACAGTATTTGTGTTGACCTTAGACAGAAAGTTGTCAGAAACAGTATAGAATATAAAGCAGTGATTGAAGGCAGTTTAAATAGTCCTACTCCTCTGATAATTAGTTGACGACAAACTTATCTCTATGAAATGGAAGTTAATCATATTATATAAACATGGAGAACGAGTGTTTTGTCAACTGGCCGACACTCTGATACAGGCAATAACTTTTTGGCCACTGTTCTACCCCTCCGGTCTACTAGTAAATATGCCCAATCTAACCTAAGTAACGACCTAATTTTTATAATTCAATGGTAATTACACCGCCATTGAAGAGGCCACTCGGCACTGGGGTGCTACGTACCGTAGTTTTACTCTTCCCGCGATCGGCGTAAACAAGCGTAAATTTAAAATAAGCTATCTCTAGCCACACACATAGAAAATCCCCTTGTTGTGACGGCATTCCTTATATGATACTATAACGAATTCATTGGCCAGTAATATTCTTGGTATTTCTAGCAAAGGTATGACAGTATTGTCGTGGCGGTCTGATCATTGTAAACGCTTTGTGACATTACGTGAAAGGGGTAGATGTGTATGTAGCAAATATGTGTGACTGTCAGAGATGTCAGGCCTGACATGTCGGGTGGCCGGATGGAAGCCGAGGTGGTCAGCCTTATTGGTATGACACTATACGGATTCATCGCCTCCACAGGTAGCCCTGGAAACTGACAGGTACAGTTGTCACACTGTAGGCTCTTTAAGATGGCTTTGTTAGAGGTGACAATTGTGTTAGATCATACCCAGTCGCTATTTAACTCCATTAGCGAGGCGATGGGAATCACACACCCCGACATTGACGAAACGCCTCATACGGAACACGAGCACGCGTACGTGAGAAACCTTCATGGATACACCAGTTAAGGTGTATTTAAACACAAGCTCATAGTCATGAGAAAATATCGATTCGCAATTACATCAATTTTGATGGATACATCAGCACGTAGAGGATACACGAACACGGGTATGGGAGAAAGTATATATTGTAAGGGTATTGTCAACAACGTGTATCGGAGTTGTTTATAAAACAGACACACGAGCACGTGTATCGGCGATGGTACAGTATACATGCTGAAGTAAGTACACGCCAAGACTACGTGTGGTGCGATGATAGGTGAATTCCCGGGTCTACATACGGAGAAAGCACCAGTTCTTGTTTCCTGGCACGGACGATAAGTACGATTTAAGAATAAAATAAAGACAATCGTTCCTTACATCGATTAGGGTGATGTCATTGCAACACGTGACACACGATGACAAGTGTTGATGATAATCTTTGGTTGTTTTCAGTTAGTTTTATTTCATTATTGGAATTATCAGTAATTAAAACCAAGGAAATTGCAAGGCGCGAAAGGAGAGAAAGAGAATAGGCATGGAACAGAGGTAGACCTCTGACGTACCTATGTCCTTTTATTCTATTTTTAACATTTTTACAATACGTATACTTCTCTACGTGAAATGATTGTAACATTTATTATCATTAAACCTGTATAAGAATTCACTAAACGGAAAATCAAATCACTAACCCTTTAACAGATCACTTTGTTTTAAGACATCGACATCTCCCTTTGACGTATCACTTTATAGCGTCACTGAGCTCCTGATCTTCTCAACCAATCAGAAAGGGGGTTGGATTATGACAGGTATATGATCTACAGAAGATATCTGTATTAATGTAGATTGCTTAGATTTAATTCATCCGAACCGACTTTAGCTCTCTCTGACTTTACAAGCACGTGATTATCTCGCTTATAAATGTTCTTTCCTAGTTCAAGAATTAGCATATCTCTATGGTAAAATGTTGAAAATGTATTTATTTCACTACAGAAAAAGTGTGTGTGTAGGGGTTTGGGGGGGGGGTATTATCATCATCCTAACTTTCTTCAAATGTCCTATAAGGCATTTAAAGTGTACATGTAGATAAAGCAAAGAATGGAAAAAGCACCAAATTCTTCCGACTAAACGTTGGGGAAACTCTCCTTATCACACGCTGAATTAGTGTAAAATATCGTAACTGTTTGGCTATGAATTCAAACCAGTCAAAAGTATATGCTGTTGGTAGGGGACCCCATGGTGAATTCACTGCGGGGCTATTGCCAATCAGAGCACTCGTGTTTGTTTTCCTACATCTGACCGACACCGAAGTCGGCCGGCGCTGTCAAGGTGTTGGGGTGATTGACAAACAGTCCCTGTACGGTGTATGGTCGTACACCTTTCCCTCGCCAGGTAGGCGGGGCTTATACCGGAAGACAATAGCTAATTACTAGATGTGACATCTTACGTCAAAAGTCTAGGTCTCGAGTTTTGCACGAGAGCATGTCTATGGGACGGCACTTGAAATCAAGAAATTCCTATAGAGCTACATAGATTGAGGGGAGTAGTGAATTACCTGGATTACAGAGGATTTCTGTCAGAGTAGAATAAGAGATAAAACATTGAGCATAAAAACGTGTTGGTCGTCGGTAACACCTCCTATTAGCGCACTGACTCGTAATTCGATGGACAAGATTGGCCTCGTAAGACTACTCAAGGAAAGCTAACATTTAGTTCGCTACAGACGTGAAAATTGATCGCAGGCAGTTGACAACAACACTGGATACTACCCATCACTTTTATACATTCTTATTTCAATAGTCACTTGAGAACAAAATTGACAAAATGAACACAATAATTAATTCCGCAAACTCTATTATAAACTCGGGTTCGCCACCAATGCTTGGTTTCCAGTCTCAGTACAATTCCGGTGGACACTTTCAGCAGATGTATAACACACAAACTGTCCAGCGCCCGTCCTTCGCCATCCAGGAAATACTTGGACTTCCAGCTTCGTCTTGTCGACAAAACCCAAGTCCGGATTTACTAGATCCACAGGGCATGTCTCCTTCTAATGTCATGTATATTTCCGGACTCAACTCTGGACACAATTCCGGATCGTGTGGAGCGGACTTGCCTCCTCAGCAGAATTACTACAGGGATCAAACGATGATACCACAAACCTCGTGTCCAAGCTTCAACCCATGGCGGATGGACACATCCTACAATCAGTATCAGCCCAACCCCGTACAGACTAGTACCGACCTCCCGGGACCCAGGTACGGGGAAAACCCGGGATACGGTCTTAAAGCACCCTGTCTGGAAGATGGTAAGTTGTCGTCAGTGACACGAAAATACGTCTATGGCTGTTTAGAATTAGGCCAGTGTCTATAAAGCGTATTGCTCAACATCGCATTTATTAATTTCTTCTTTCTTCAAGACATGATTCTGTATTTACGAAAACAGGTAATAAATTGTGCAGGCACCCTTCATTACAATACAATAAGAAATTCATGAAACATGATTTAAATTATTTCCTTAAGTTTTCAGACGTTTTGCAAAGCTTAATGTATCAAATTCATATTAAATTTCTATTTCAAATATGCCTTTTTATCTAAGATATGTTGATGATTTCTTTTCGCCAAAAAATAATCTATAATATAATGTATAATTTATAATATAATCTATAATATAATGTATAATTTATAATATAATCTATAATATAACGTATAATTTATAATATGATCTATAATATAATGTATAATTTATAATATAATCTATAATATAATGTATAATTTATAACATGATCTATAATATAATGTATAATTTATAATATAATCTATAATATAATGTATAATATAATCTATAATATAATGTATAATTTATAATATGATCTATAATATAAAACAATAAAATAATTATAGTACATAATTTGCTTTACCTGCCGTGTATGCTCCTGCACAGAAATACACCCCGTAAAACCTCGTATAGATACTTTAAGCGAATAAACACTTTGATATGAATGATGCCACGTTATATTGTCTACTGAGTAAGTCATATTGTCCACTCAGTAAGTCATAATGTCCACTGAGTAAGTCATTATGTCCACTGAGTAAGTCATATTGTCCACTGAGTAAGTCATATTGTCCACTGAGTAAGTCATATTGTCTACTGAGTAAGTCATTATGTCCACTGAGTAAGTCATATTGTCTACTGAGTAAGTCATAATGTCCAATAAGTAAGACATTATGTCCAATAAGTAAGTCATTATGTCTACTGAGTAAGACATATTGTTCACTGAGTAAGTCATTATGTCCACTGAGTAAGTCATAATGTCTACTGAGTAAGTCATATTGTTCACTGAGTAAGTCATATTGTCTACTGAGTAAGTCATAATGTCCAATAAGTCAGACATTATGTCCAATAAGTAAGTCATTATGTCTACTGAGTAAGACATATTGTTCACTGAGTAAGTCATATTGTCTACTGAGTAAGTCATAATGTCCAATAAGTCAGACATTATGTCCAATAAGTAAGTCATTATGTCTACTGAGTAAGTCATATTGTTCACTGAGTAAGTCATATTGTCTACTGAGTAAGTCATAATGTCCAATAAGTCAGACATTATGTCCAATAAGTAAGTCATTATGTCCACTGAGTAAGTCATAATGTCTACTGAGTAAGACATATTGTCCAATGAGTAAGTCATAATGTCCACTGAGTAAGACATATTGTCCACGGAGTAAGTCATATTGTCTACTGAGTAAGTCATAATGTCCAATAAGTAAGACATATTGTCCACTGAGTAAGTCATTATGTCCACTGAGTAAGTCATATTGTCCACTGAGTAAGTCATATTGTCTACTGAGTAAGTCATATTGTCTACAGAGTTAGTCATATTGTCTACTGAGTAAGTCATATTGTCTACTGAGTAAGTCATAATGTCCAATAAGTAAGTCATATTGTCCAATAAGTAAGTCATATTGTCCACTGAGTAAGTCATAATGTCCACTGAGTAAGTCATTATGTCCACTGAGTAAGTCATATTGTCTACTGAGTAAGTCATATTGTCTACTGAGTAAGTTATATTGTCTACTGAGTAAGTCATTATGTCCACTGAGTAAGTCATATTGTCTACTGAGTAAGTCATATTGTCTACTGAGTAAGTCATTATGTCCACTGAGTAAGTCATATTGTCTACTGAGTAAGTCATATTGTCTACTGAGTAAGTCATTATGTCTACTGAGTAAGTCATAATGTCCAATAAGTAAGTCATATTGTCCATGGAGTAAGTCATAATGTCCAATAAGTAAGTCATATTGTCCAATAAGTAAGTCATATTGTCCACTGAGTAAGTCATAATGTCCACTGAGTAAGTCATTATGTCCACTGAGTAAGTCATACTGAGTGTCATATTGTCCACTGAGTAAGTCATATTGTCTACTGAGTAAGTCATATTGTCTACTGAGTAAGTCATTATGTCCACTGAGTAAGTCATATTGTCTACTGAGTAAGTCATATTGTCTACTGAGTAAGTCATTATGTCTACTGAGTAAGTCATAATGTCCAATAAGTAAGTCATATTGTCCATGGAGTAAGTCATAATGTCCAATAAGTAAGTCATATTGTCCAATAAGTAAGTCATAATGTCCACTGAGTAAGTCATTATGTCCACTGAGTAAGTCATATTGTCTACTGAGTAAGTCATATTGTCTACTGAGTAAGTTATATTGTCTACTGAGTAAGTTATATTGTCTACTGAGTAAGTCATTATGTCCACTGAGTAAGTCATATTGTCTACTGAGTAAGTCATAATGTCTACTGAGTAAGTCATAATGGCTACTGAGTAAGTCATATTGTCTACTGAGTAAGTCATATTGTCTACTGAGTAAGTTATATTGTCTACTGAGTAAGTCATTATGTCCACTGAGTAAGTCATATTGTCCACTGAGTAAGTCATAATGTCTACTGAGCAAGTTATATTGTCTACTGAGTAAGTCATTATGTCCACTCAGTAAGTCATATTGTCTACTGAGTAAGTCATAATGTCCACTGAGTAAGTCATATTGTCCAATAAGTAAGACATATTGTCCACTGAGTAAGTCATATTGTCTACTGAGTAAGTCATATTGTCCAATAAGTAAGACATATTGTCCAATAAGTAAGTCATAATGTTCAATGAGTAAGTCATATTGTCTACTGAGTAAGTCATATTGTCTACTGAGTAAGTCATTATGTCCACTGAGTAAGTCATATTGTCTACTGAGTAAGTCATATTGTCTACTGAGTAAGTCATATTGTCCACTGAGTAAGTCATATTGTCCACTGAGTAAGTCATATTGTCTACTGTGTAAGTCATATTGTCTACTGAGTAAGTCGCTATTTACATGCACATTCACCAGCCATTTATAATATATTCACACTATGATTTACATTTCCCATGGTTACCATTTACAAGTGTATTGTGGACAATTTAATGTATTGAAAACTTACTTGATAGTCGGTCGTTGCTTACACCTCGTACATAATACAATGTACATATGTTTATGTTAAAACTTCATCGCACGTTATAATTACAGTTGGGTTTCACAATACGTGCATATTCAACAGTTATATCAGAAATGGTGATTATAGAAAGTTTACCGGGATTCATAATTCATCAGTAAATTATTAAAGGATATTTAAAACATTTTAATCGTTTATTGATATTTCAATCGTCACATTTATTTTAAAACCAAATACTCAGAAACCACGTTATCATCGACAGCGTGGTATTATCGATGGATAATTTATTCTATCAAACCTTACCATTACGTGTAAACGAATATATTTTATTAATCATTTTCATGTTTTGCACGCAAATTATGATATCCATTGAATGCGGTCAAGCTCTCATATCGATCTTGCTTAAGTATTTTTTATTTGAATGGACTCTGATTTTAGTATCCGCGGATTGGACACAATCGATTCGGTACAAAGTTTCGGATTGTTAACTTTGACATTGATTAATCACGAATTTTACATCTGGATTTCGTAGCTTTGTTTTAAGCACGAAGTTTTATAGGGATGGTTTGCAAATTTGTATTTATGGTTGAGACGCAAATTTTATATGGACTGTTTACAAATTTTGCAGACGCATATTTTAAAAATGAATTAAACAAAAGGAATAGGACCCGTGAACTGTCTCTCCTTAAAACTATGAGAGAGTTGATTTACAAACAATATACTAAAGACTTTAAACAGAAACTGTTGATAAGATTCACATCAGCTGGACATTTAACAGGTTCTATAAATTATAATTACCGATACAATACATATTACGTATTTTTAGAACAACTGAAAAATTACTATTACGTTATGTAAATATAAAAAGGCCAGTAAACGGATGGAAACATTTCTCTCCGTGAGGTCTGGATTACTATATCTTAACATAAATCGTCTGAATTTAAAGTAATATTTTGATGACGTTAAACGTCTGAATTTAAAGTAATATTTTGATATGTAACAGCTCTTTCATGCAATGATTTAAAAACTATTTGTTTGCCTGCGAAGGTATAAGTTTTATGGAAAGTTTTGTTGATTGCTTTAAAATAGATCAATAAAACAACTACTTCTACTTTTTCTATTTAAAACAAAATCAACAAAACAAAAAATATTATTGAGAAGCAAAAAGGAGTAGATAAACCCTTAATTATTTGTCTACAAGATTCATTAATGTAGGTTATCCATCCCCACTGTTTACCTGTATTCACTAACCACGCCCACCGGAAGTCGACAAAATCATTCAACAAAAATCCGCGTTAAGTGGCATACTTGTAGTGAGGGTCTGTCGTCACTGAAACTGAACAAATCTGACCAGAAAGTAAATATTCAGCTAATAATGGCGGTCTCCAAGGATTTTGTATTTTCTTAAGCCACGCGATAAACAAGCAAATCTGATTAAATAACTATCGAGCGGGACATCACTCCAATGTTACAATATAGACCTAATGTTACCTCCAGGGGGAGAGGGACAGAGACTATGTACCCGGGCGGCCCAGCTAATTGGTACCTCTCCAGGTCGCCACAATAATAACACAACTATATAAACACATTGGCGTCGCTGTAGTAAACACAGTGTTTTTGATATCAATAAAATATAACATATTCAAACATAAACCATTTTCCGGTTAGAAACAAGTCAATTAATGACGGAGTTTTAGCGATGTCGTATCAATATGGAACAATTGATGACGGAGTTTTAGCGATGTCGTATCAATATGGAACGAGTCAATTTATGAAGGAGTTTTAGCGATGTCGTATCAATATGAAACAAGAAACAAATCAATATGGAACAATTGATGACGGAGTTTTAGCGATGTCGTATCAATATGGAACAAGTCAATTGATGACGGAGTTTTAGCGATGTCGTATCAATATGGAACGAGTCAATTAATGAAGGAGTTTTAGCGATGTCGTATCAATATGGAACGAGTCAATTAATGACGGAGTTTTAGCGATGTCGTATCATTATGGAACAATTAATGACGGAGTTTTAGCGATGTCGTATCAATATCAGTGGCGTAGCAAAACATTTTTAAGAGTGTATGCTTTCAAGAGAGGATCCAAGGGCGAAGCCCCGGTTAAGGGGGTCTAGGGGCGCAATAAGGTTAAAAAAGTAGGGCAAATATATCTCAATGGAATTCGAGTGTATGTTTAAGCATACAAGCATACATTATTGCTACGCCTTTGAATATGGAACGAGTCAGTTTATGACGGAGTTTTAGCGATGTCGTATCGACACGGAACAAGTCAATTGATGACGGAGTTTTATCGATGTCGTATCAACACGGAACGAGTCAATTTATGACGGAGTTTTAGCGATGTCGTATCATTATGGAACAATTAATGACGGAGTTTTAGCGATGTCGTATCAATATGGAACGAGTCAATTGATGACGGAGTTTTAGCGATGTCGTATCAATATGGAACAATTAATGACGGAGTTTTAGCGATGTCGTATCAATATGGAACAAGTCAATTGATGACGGAGTTTTAGCGATGTCGTATCAATATGGAACAATTGATGACGGAGTTTTAGCGATGTCGTATCAATATGGAACAATTAATGACGGAGTTTTAGCGATGTCGTATCAATATGGAACAATTAATGACGGAGTTTTAGCGATGTCGTATCAATATGGAACAAGTCAATTGATGACGGAGTTTTAGCGATGTCCTATCAATATGGAACAAGTCAATTGATGACGGAGTTTTAGCGATGTCGTATCAATATGGAACAAGTCAATTTATGACGGAGAATTACTCGTAACTCTAATCACAATATACTTAAGCATTTATTTGATCTTGGTAAATTACTATATCCTATATCCTTTAGGCGACCTTTGACCTTTAAATAGCTTAAATGTGACGTTCTCATTGTTTTCACTGGTTGATTGATTTCCAGTTTTAACAACACTACAGGGATAAATTAAACCAAATAATTATAGAAATGAAAAAGTAAAAGGAGACAATTTTTTCAAAGTTCGTAAGTTTATATCATAATACAACATTGGGAGATAGAAAATTAAAAAAACTGTTCGATAATGGTCACGGGAGAAAGTGATTTCGCCTGTTCGATATCAAAATGCTTAATAACTATGATCACAAATAATATGAAAGCAATTGATACTGATAATTTCGAATTTTATCAGTACGACATCTAAATCAAAGTTCTAATTAAAAACAGATCAAATTTCTGATGCTTCACAATATTTTCTGCGAGCTCAATGGAAATATTGAATTTCTATCGCCTTAAACACTTTCTTCACAAACAACACCCGATTGTATAAAAAAAGTCCAAACGATGGTTTAACAGTGACAGAATCTATTGAATCATCTTATAATAACGAAACCTGTCATTTCCGAACTCGTCTGATTGTATTCTATAACACATCCTGACACTATCGACCGGTACCTGTTTTGTTAACTACAATACCAGAGTTTGTTCCTGTTACAAATTGGTGCAAAACATACTGATGTGTCAACACCCTAATGAGTAAGCAGCAGCCACGTCTTGTCCAACACATTGCCGTGGCCGAATCAGTCTGACATTTCATTTCTTATTAGATTAAAACTTTTAAAATGGATCTCGGCGAGGAGTCTAATTATACAGGACGATATCGTCATTAGCTCTTCTTTGTAAAAGTTGTGGTGATTTCATCATTATCAGACACTAGAGCTGTTCAATTGAGCAGGCCAACTGATTTGTGTGACTACTTAATCTTCACCGCGGGACCGATGTCCAGGGCGAGACCTTTTTAGGGAGACGTGCTAGAGTTACTAACTTGTTGTGCTTCTCCAGCTGAGCAATTAACAGTATAAATCGTGACATTCACGGCTCTATTCTTGACTAGCGCTGTGGAATTCTTAAACTTTCTATGGTCATTCTTTGATGACGTTCTGTTCTGTCTCGCTAGTCCATCCAATCTCCTCTAGTTTTGGCCGTTATTGTTCACTATTGACCAACAAGTGTCGCTCTGACTCGAGCTGAGAAAGACTCGAGTGGGTGGAAAACAAAACATCAAACTGGTTTCATCTGAAAAACTTCAATCCACTTGAAAAAGGAGAAAACGAAATTAAGATGTAAACTATGTGATACTGTGTATTGGGACATCTTGATGTGCATATCCATTTAGGCATTTGATTATATTCCACGTCACTGTTTGACCTCAGCCAGGCAGAGTTACATATATGTAACGTTGTACAGTATAATCAAGCTAGAGAAACAAGCCAGCCAAGGATTAATTGAATATGGCAACTATATAAAAACTATTCAACTCACTTGTCGCTGCTTTCTATTATCAAAGTAAATACGCGAGCCAATCGCTTGACAGAAATGAAACTCATTTGCGCAGCAAAGCTGTGTTAATTTATGCAAAGGTCTTGACTTTATACAATCCAGTATCCGAACACATTACGGGGTGCTATAATGTATATCATTTAACTCGTTAACCTATACGAAAATGTGTTTTTGTATAATCATCTTGATCCTCAGAAGAAACTGTTTTTAGTGCATAAATTATGATACATTCGTCCTTTTTAATAAGTTTTGGATGTCCACAATCATTAAACTTTAGTACGGGAAACAAGAAGGGCAAAAGTGGTTTTCATACCGAAACAAATGGAATCGAAGATTAACATATATGTTTTCGAAATATCAGAGGTGTTTGAAAGCTGATGGACAGCAGTAGTTATGAAAAGAAATTAAAGAAACAGAATGTTGATTTCGTCATACAGAGTAAAATGACACAAAACGAATGGTGGTTTCTTGTTTATCACCTGATTCAGTGATTCACTCTAGGTGAGATTTCGGAACGACATTCTCTAAACAGTTATTACTGCATTTAAAACACGTCTTAATGTACAATGTTAGAGTGGCAGGGTATATGAGGTACCAGCACGCGCCACTTTCTGCAGGAGTATAACGCAGCGACGCACGCGAGAGTTAGCTATGTTTTTAGTATGGACTGGCGTCAGAACACTGTCCACAACTCGAGAAGGTTTTAGTCTCCTCTTGTCGGACTCCCACGCCGGCTTCAGCAAATCACAATCTAATAAATCCTTGAGGTCAATTTTGACAACAATTGTAGATTTTAAACTTTCTGTTCACGTTATCTTGAGTTTAAACAAAATCAAGTGAAAATGGGGAAACCTTTGACACTCTAAGTCTCTCTACTGGTACTCAAGCTTGTTGACAGTCGTTCGAGTGGTGTGTTTACCTGCGCGCCATACTGACATCTTCTTACCACCCCTTCCCTTAATCACCTTCAATTTACTTAAGTCTTTCCTCGGCCACAAGCTGACCCACTTATTGTTTTATGAATGAACCTAAGACCTGACAGCCGGCGAGTCTGGGAAATTTCGATATTTTCTAGTTTACGCATATGTATATCAGGATTTACACATGTAGGCGCCGTTTCAAGATGAGTGATTATGTAAATATTTTAATATCGATGCACGCTTCCGGTTAGTTGGAGGGGTGACTGTTCCCTACCCGGTCCCATCCTGTGGTTTTGCGGTCAAGCTTGACCGGTCTGTCTTGGTACATCGCAGCAATCAGTAGTTGTCCCATCTCTCGCAACAGGGATGTGATGAGCATATGATTACAGTAACAAACACGTCATTTCCTGTGCATAAACAAGTGAAGTCCTGTGTGTTTATTTAAATTTTGTCAGTGAAATATAAAAAGTTGTCAATATCACAAAAAACTTGAATCATCATTGTGGTGATAAGATAAGGATCACCAGTGATGATATAAATTTTCCAGTGATGATAAAACTACCGTTGTTTTAACCAAAAAGAGAGGTGTTTTCTAGTCATTGCATTCAAATAAGCTGATTTTCCTGTACGGTCTAAAATGAAGGGAAGGTTGATAAGTTGTTTTTTCTATAAAATAATTCCAGCGTACGCTTCTGATTTTCTTTAATTTGGTACAAAAACTATGTTGTAAGCGACTAGTACCACATTACAGCATGGTAGAATACACTACAAAGCAGCCCATTTAAAATGGCGGCGTCTTGTCAAGCGAAACGTCAAATTCTCTGAGGTCAGAGACCGCGCTATGATTTCCCAAACCTTTTTGTTAAACACCCCTTTATCTTATGTGTTGGCTCGGATATTTCCTTCTGTTTATTTCCTTTAAGACTTAAAAAAACCCAAGAAAATTTGATGGTTTCCCGTTAATTATCACATACATTTCACTTATATGGAAGACACAATCTATATTTTTCACTGTGCTTCGCAACCGTTAAAAAATGGATATTCTGCCATAATCCTGAAATGTATTTATCAAAGGGGAAACAATGAAATATCTACTATAACATACATAACTATAAGTGTGACATTACATAACGATAACGTTCTGTCGTTAGAATGTTTATAGAAAACATGATGTTGAGAGGGGTTTCAAAATACAGGCAGCCACGTTTTTGTCAAGAATTGTCCGTTATGTCTGTCTTGAGTATATGTAATATTTAAGAGATATACTCCGTCTAATGCAAACGTCTTACAAAAGCACGGAACTGGTCCCTGAATAAACCGACTGATAAATATACATATATGTTGAAATGAAAAAAAAAAAAAAAAATCCACTCAATGGCCGCTTTGTGCTTACAGTGCCCCAGAGACCAGAATGTGCACACATACAGAAGTCGGAGTGTGGTGGCCACGGCAAGAAACAGAAGAAGAGACGCAGACATAGGTAAGGCTTTAGTCACTTTTACAGGTGTTGCGGTCGGAGTCACTTTTCCTCGTGTGTAGCAGTTCATTTTATATCTTGTCCAACTCCAAGGTTTTTATCAGGCGGATTCCCATTATAATCAGAGCGTTCACTTATCACCATATCCCAGAGGATACACTCTGTCTTAAGAATCACAACCAAGATTATAAAAGGAAATATACAAATAAAAGTTCTCGTTTTCACGTTCAATTTTTTTCCATAAATGATACTTGCTTTGTTCACTGTTTACAAAACTACCGATATAGATAAAGATTACTAAAATGACTTCCTAAGTGGACTATAGGGCATAACATATCACATCGTAATGACAGTATATTATAGTAATACAGTATCAAATGAAACAATACATTGTAATACAATGTACATAGCACTACCGGTCATCAAGTATTCGGTGATCCTGTTTTTACTACACAACTAAATTTATATTACATTGACTTGACTGATTAAAGGAACACTGTAACCTGTAATCATTTTTCAAAAAGAAACGACGCTGCTCACCAGAGTCTTTCAATACCGTCTTGACCACTTCCTTTATTTCTGAGAATACAATATCGTTGTACGTCTCCCGTCTGTAATTACTTTCCAATATCGGTATTACATTGTAACTTAATCTGTGACACCAGCTAACCAAAAACTGAACAATTCATTACCATAACCAGTCTTGCTAGCAGGCGGTCCATTGTCTAGCGCGTAAATTAATGAGCTCGCCAGAGTAAACCATTGAACAATTACAGCGCGCCATTGGTCGACTCACTTACCAATCTTTTTACGCTGAAGAGTTCGCTGATCACGTCCCGATTATGGCGAAACAGAATGGCAGGGCATGACAATCGCATGTTGAACTGCTGATGTCAAATAAATAACGATGTGTATTTGTAGTGACGGGTTGTCGGTAATGAGCAAAATTACCCATTACATTTTCCAATTTAGTATCATATGAAATGACCGGATTATTCGGAAGCGAAGTGCGGTAAGCTACAGATCGATTTGGTGTCATGCGCCGAGATAAACAGCCCAATCAGCACAAACCCGACACCAATTACCCGTCATGACTTTCCTTGTAAGTCGGAATTTTTACCCGGAGTTTTAATTAAAGCTGTCGATGGCTGTGAAGAGTTACCAGCAATACTTTCAATTATACGACTTTGATGTCACCATATTCTAAAAGATGCATGCCATTATTATTTATGAAACAACAAATATAATTCTGTTTTCAAAGACAAATTTACAACTTGCCGTCACAGACATATAAAGTTACTAAAATCTTGGATATCAAAAAGAAGTGTATGTACAGCTCGTTATATATGTACATCTCGTTATATATGTACATCTCGTTATATATGTACAGCTCGTTATTTATGTAAACATACTAATAGAACACAAATTTAAAGTCAACTACATGGAAGCAGTATTAAATACGTTATTTTAATGTAATATTTTATTCTCTTTGATGTAGGACCATATTTACGAGTTACCAGAGTGACGAACTGGAGAAGACATTTAAGGAGGCACATTACCCTGACCTGTACACTCGGGAGGTGTTGGCCCTGAAGATTGATCTCCCTGAGGATCGTATTCAGGTACACATATATAATAGGATATTGACAGAGGACCACAGAAATGACCGATTACACGGAAAAAACACAATTACGTGTTGTTTATTATAATGTTTTGAAATGTACGTTCTAAATTTTATCCACAATTTCATTTCGAGGACTTGGTGTATACGTTTGAAAAGTCAATGATTGTTTATTGATCAAGCTTTGATATCGCCTTGGAATTTTGATGCTTAAGATATCTGAGATAATACAAAAAAAGATTTATCTCTACTTAAACTGTGTAAATACAGTTGGAGGCATGCGTTCCCTGTCTATCTGTTTTCAATTTTCGTTTATCTTTGATGCATATGAAAAGAAAACAACTTCTATATTCCACAAACCGTACAAAGACCTTGCAAATACAGCCGTATACCCTTCCCCTCTCTCGCCCCTCCCTCACAACCCGGGATTCAAGGTCAAGTTATTTTAACCTTGTATTAACCCGACACCCGATAGGTTGTCACGTGCACTTTGAGACCCAAAACTTTGCCACAATCAGAGACAAAAATCAAAATCCCGGCATGAGGAATTATTGGCGAACGTCAAAATCGTGGGGTAATTAGTGTTGCTATCAAAATTTACACAGCAAAGTGTGTTTATTTATTCTGTTGGCTCAAGATAGGGGAGGAAATTTGACGTGCTCGTCCCTTCCAGATTCGTGGTTACACGGGAATAACGGACTAGGCAACTGACAGCTCTGTACTGCGTGATCGCCTCCAACATCTATCTAATAGATACGCACGATAAAGTCTCAGATAAGCGGCATGTGTGATTCTATACGGACAGGTTCAAATTATAAAACCCGGTGACGTCAGCCAAAGCTTTGTATGACATGTTGGTTGGCGTAATGCTGACTTTCTCATACATTCAGTAGATATTTTGCTTTGCCTATCGCTGACTAACATAGTTTAGTTTAAGCGTAGTGTAATTTCTTGATAAAAAAATCTCTGTTTACACTGTGAGTTTTTTTCTGTTTTTCAAAATTCCAAGGTTTTACCTCTAATTATGATAATTTGTCATTACAGCAGATGCATATGTTTAATTCTGTACGTTAGTATTCCTCAGATAATTACATTCAAAATATAATGTATTGTTGAAACACCTAATTGTTTCAAGCTTTGCTCTTACAGGAGATAGGAAATGAAATTCTGTTCGATTTTGAAAATAGAAAATAACCCCGAAAGTGTAGGTCTCAAATCAAAATAATTAGTGAATTTGTTTATATTTCTAGGTATGGTTTCAAAACAGACGAGCAAAATGGCGAAAGAGCGAGAAGACCTGGGGGAAAAGTAGCATTATGGCAGAATATGGTCTGTACGGAGCCATGGTTAGACATGCACTTCCGCTTCCGGAATCTATCCTGAAATCAGCTAACAAAGGCATCGACAAGTCAAACGCACCGTGGCTGTTGGGTACGTCATAGAGTTCAATGTCGTGATGACTATAAGTGTTCGTAATAATTTCTGAAGCTTTATCTGCATAGACACATTCATACAAATGTACTGCAGTAAACTGTGATTGATTTCTTTGTTTTGTTTATCCACCATCTAGGTATGCACAAGAAGTCTATCGAAGCGTCTAAAAAGATGAAAGAGGAAGAGAATACGGAAGAGGAGGGAACAGATGACAAACATAAAGATGAGTTCCGGTCGGAAAGTATCGCTGCTTTACGGGCCAAAGCACAGGAACATAGTGCTCGAATGTTACAAGCTCTCAATCGGGAAGGAAAGCCAAATTTTGAGGAAACTAGCAATAGTTCTTTTGACAGTTCTTTTTTCTCTGACTCAGGTGATACATCAGTGGATATAACCAGACAGTGACGTTGTTATTCCACTAGTCTATACTTCAACGCTAAAACGGGTGCCATCACAATAGCCTTGCTTTCTACAATGTATCATGTTTACATTGTATCATTGTCTACATTGTATCATTGTCTACATTGTATCATGTTTACATTGTATCATTGTCTACATTGTATCATTGTCTACATTGTATCATTGTCTACATTGTATCATGTTTACATTGTATCATGTTTACATTGTATCATTGTCTACATTGTATCATGTTCATCATTGTCTACATTGTATCATGTTTACATTGTATCATTGTCTACATTGTATCATGTTTACATTGTATCATTGTCTACATTGTATTATTTTCTACATTGTATCATTGTCTACATTGTATCATGTTTACATTGTATTATGTTTACATTGTATCATTGTCTACATTGTATTAATTTCTACATTGTATCATTGTCTACATTGTATCATGTTTACATTGAATCATTGTTAACAATATAGAAACTGTATATTTTGGTGTACTTTTCATGAACATTGTTGTGCTGTGTATGATAACTATACAGTATATACATGCACCTACTACCTATTGTATATGGGATTAAATCATACATTGTATATATACATAGATATATACACAGTGTATTTCTGCGATGTGTACATTGCTATATGTATGAAGCATACGTTGTATACAATGTGCGTACATCGTATTCGGAATGGTGAATCTGACTGACCGAAAGTATATCTAACAGTACATGTTGATCTCATTCTGTTATCATAAATATATTTAGAACGTAAAGTTATTGGGACTCAAAGATCGATCGAGATAGACATAAGATAGAACACGATTGTTTTTCTGTCCATCCTGTATTGTACACAGACTGTAGAGGGGGTATACGTAGGTACAATGGATAACTTTAATACAAAGCTATACTACCATTGGCCTGTAAGTATGTTTTGTTGGACGTCGTTACCTTGAGACCATTTCCCTCGTTATTTTGTCTTTTGTCGTTACCTCGTGATATTTCCCTCGTTATTTTGTCTGTTCTCGTTTCGTCGTTACCTTTTCTCCTTTTGTCAGATCTCGTTTCTCGTATTTTTCTGTCTCGTTTCATGTACCTTGTTTTTTCCTTCGTTATTCCGTTTTAATTGCCCCGAAATCGTTCTTACCTTTATCTATTCTCTTAACTATCTCGAGATGTTTTGTATCCCTTTCCTTTATATCTGTGTCGTACCTTTTATTTTCTGTCCTCGTATACTTCTATGTCGTATGTGCTACATTTTACATCCCTCGTCATAGTTTGGTATGCTTAATTGTACATAAGATATATATGTATTTATAACTAATGATGTTTTCCTGTAAATAACTAGGGTAATTTTTGTATATGTATATTGAGTTGAATTGTCATTATATTATAGTATATAAATCTAACTTATTCTTATATAGAATAAAATATGGCACAACTTACATTCTAAAAACCAAATCAGTGAAACCACAAGCAGTTGAAGTAAGACGATGTACCGGAAGTTAAAACATGCAATGAAAAAACATTTAGTTCCAGTTGCTTTGTGCACCTTAAAATACTAATTTTTGCTAATCATACAATTCATGGCGTTTACGTTTTATACTGGAGAATATTTAATGAGTCTGCTTTGTATATTTGTAAAAATGGTCGGCCTTTTCTGACCTTTGACCCGTTACACTTTTTTACTCCACACACATGTACATCTTTTTCATTTTGTGTCATAAAAAGTGCAATATATTTTTATTTCAAATAAAGAACTACAAATATAACTCCTGTTTTGTTGTCTATCATACATTTATCGCAGTGCGATGTGATTCCCGTTATTGTAACCACACCCACTATGTGTAGCTATCTCCCAAACACTACAGGTTTTCGTCTAATTTCCCTATGACATGTGCAAAAAAATTGCCTTTAATTAGATAAACGTTAGATAAGAAGTTGAAAAGTTTAAGGATACTGGATTGTTTGGTTTAATTGAAATATTTTACACAGCCGACAGGGATTTCGATGTATATAATTATAAATAGACTTCGTACATCCCCCCTAACAATAGACTTGCTACAGTCTCTAATTACGTCAGCTTAAAGGACGCCGTCACACATATATCTCATTATTTTTACTTTACTTTTCTTGATAAAAAAAGATGCATCTCCTCATCGGAGCTTATTTTGTTTACATGTATGTACCAACAAGTACCTGTCGTAATATCTAAATAAACATCTGAACTTGTTTACATGTATGTACCAACAAGCACCTGTCGTACTATCTAAATAAGCAAGTTATTAAAAATCTAACTCGTTTATCTTTACTCTGTGTTTATAACTAATGAAAATAGTTTAGGTTCATATCATTAATACATTAACACAGCTTGACAACAAACCTATAATAACACGTCCAAAGGTTATCCAGTCACATTAGGATATCTGTAATATAAACCTTAGCGGCAATATCTTTACTACTTTTGGGTAGTTAATAAGAATCGTATCAGTAATGAAGATATATCTACTTAAAGTTTTATACATCAAAAATACACTTCACACAAATTAACACCATACTTGTAATAATAAATACACTTCACACAATTAACATCACACTTGTAATAATAAATACACTTCACACAATTAACATAATACTTGTAATAGTGCATACACTTCACACAATTAACATCACACTTGTAATAGTGAATACACTTCACACAAATTAACATCACACTTGTAATAATAAATACACTTCACACAAATTAACATCACACTTGTAATAATAAATACACTTCACACAAATAAACATCACACTTGTAATAATAAATACACTTCACACAAATTAACATCACACACACTTCACACAATTTAACATCACACTTGTAATAATAAATACACTTCACACAATTAACATAACACTTGTAATAATAAATACACTTCACACAATTAACATCACACTTGTAATAATAAATACACTTCACACAATTAACATCACACTTGTAATAATACATACACTTCACACAATTAACATAATACTTGTAATAATAAATACACTTCACACAATTAACATCACACTTGTAATAATAAATACACTTCACACAATTAACATCACACTTGTAATAATAAATACACTTCACACAATTTAACATAATACTTGTAATAGTGAATACACTTCACACAATTAACATAATACTTGTAATAGTGAATACACTTCACACAATTAACATAATACTTGTAATAGTGAATACACTTCACACAATTAACATAATACTTGTAATAATAAATACACTTCACACAATTAACATAATACTTGTAATACTTGTAATAATATACATACACAATTAACACACTTGTAATAATAACATCACACAATTAACATCACACTTGTAACAGTGAATACACTTCACACAATTAACATCACACTTGTAATAATAAATACACTTCACACAATTAACATCACACTTGTAATAGTGAATACACTTCACACAATTAACACAATACTTGTAATAATAAATACACTTCACACAAATTAACATAATACTTGTAATAATAAATACACTTCACACAAATTAACATCACACTTGTAATAATAAATACACTTCACACAATTAACATAATACTTGTAATAATAAATACACTTCACACAATTAACATAATACTTGTAATAATAAATACACTTCACACAAATTAACATAATACTTGTAATAATAAATACACTTCACACAAATTAACATCACACTTGTAATAATAAATACACTTCACACAATTAACATAATACTTGTAATAATAAATACACTTCACACAAATTAACATAATACTTGTAATAATAAATACACTTCACACAAATTAACATCACACTTGTAATAATAAATACACTTCACACAAATTAACATCACACTTGTAATAATAAATACACTTCACACAAATTAACATTAAAAAAAATAAAATAAATAAAAGTCCAGGTCCAGACGGATTTTCTACAGAATTTTAAAAATGTTTTTGGAAACAGCTTGGTACTTTCGTGATTAGATCTTAAATTCTGGCTATTATAATAATGAACTCTCTATTACACAAAAACAAGGTGTTATTACATGCATTCCAAAAAGTGACAAGCCAAGACACTTTATTCAAAATTGGCGACCAATATCGCTCTTAGATATTGTTTACAAAATTGCTTCTGGGGTTTTAGCGGGTAGGTTAAAACTGTTCTAGGAAAACTTATAGATCATGATCAAACTGGATTTTTAGAAGAACGTTACATTGGTGAAAACACTAGGCTCATATAAGATATCATGAATTATACAGAAGATAATAACATTCCTGGAATGCTCCTCATGGTTGACTTTCAAAAAGCTTTTGACTTTGTTTCATGGAAATTTATAGACAAAACTCTTTCTATTTTTGGCTTTGGGAACAGCATTAAAAATGGATAAGAACACTGCATAATAATGCAAATCGGCTATAATTCAGGGTGGAAATCTCTCTTCTTTCTTCAGGGTGAAGCGCGGCTGTCGTCAAGGGGATCCGGTCGCCCCATATATTTTTTTCTTATGTACAGAAATATTATCAGTCAGGTTAAGAAACAATAATAACATAACAGGTATAAATGTCAATAACTATCCAATCCTTCTCTCTCCATATGCAGACGACACCTCACTCATTCTTGACGGGTCAGAAAAATCTTTACGTGAATCAATCTTAGAACTAAATCGTTTTGCCCACATATCTGGATTAAAAATCAACAAAAACAAAACTCAGGTTGTAAACTTTATTTTATTTCATTTTCTTTACATACATAGACATGAAACATCACAAAAAATAACAATTGAAATTGGATTCGGAAACAAGTTATACAACTTATATAAATCCGTCTCCATTTCTGTAACAAGCAAGATGTTGACAAATGGGAAATAGATCACAAACAAAACAATAAATAAATGCATTTCTTATGAAAGAAAAGAAATAGGAAAAGAGGATAAGGAAAGAAGAGCTTAAAGAATAAGACTGGTAGGTTTAC